TATCTATTTGTCTTCTTATTTCACCTTGTAAGTCTTCATCGTCTACACTCTCAAGTGTAATGAACTGGTTTGCAAATGTCAATACAACAACTGTCCTCTTCCACATTTCTTTATGTAAGACAGAGGCCAGTTCTAAGAACATAGCACGATCAGCTCTAGCTCCTAACTTTGCACAAATGAGGATTAGACCAAATTTTTCCCGCCTTGCAATGTCAAACAAAATACCGTAATCATTTTCGCCTCCAGTATCACCGAACCCAATGGTATCATAAACCCTTATCTTCACACCTTTATACTCTCCTTCATATGCCGCTAATCCAGATGTAAAAGATCCTGCTCCATGTCCAACCTTAGCTACATCCCTCCCAAACATAGCATTGATCAGCTCTGATTTACCAACGCCAGAAGGACCGATCACTAATATATTGACCGGCTCATCTTTATTACGCAATGTTCTCAACTTTTCCTCAAGATATACATCTTCTTCAAACTGAACACTATCATCTAGTGGAGTAGCCATTTTAACAGCAGTCAGTCGCCCTGTGACTGTGAGTCATGATAAGGCTGAAAATATTCATTAACTACGGCAAACAATGAATTGGTTATGGTGGCCCAGAGGTATAATCCGTCTTCGGGTACGGGAAAAGATGCCGTTATCGGGGACGTTCAAAAAGTGACCGGCCCCGCTCAAAAAGTGGCCGGGCCAGATATGGGCTGGATCGACACACCCACAATCCCACTTGCAAACATCACACGTGGAAGAGTATTTTAGCGGAGCATTATGGATGAGACACAGAGCCAGAGCGATGAGAAGAAGGAAGATATTGTGGCTACCTTGATGAACTTGTCAGAAACTCTTTGTGAAAAAGCTATGGAGATCAACGAATCTGAAACTGCTAAAGGCTAGTAATTTTCTTAATCTTTATTTAATTTTCTATACAATAGATTTAATGAAACGTGGACAGAGTTTGCAAAAAAGGAGTAAGCAGAAAACTTCATCTCGTAATGTAGAACAACATAAGGCTAGAACTGACAATGTTCAAGTAAGTGTGTGCATGATTAAATAAAGTAGGTGTGGCATTAGCCTTCTTTATCAATTAATTATAGAAGAACTAGTAATAAGCATATAAAATTAAATTAATAATGTGGTGGGTTATACTTACTTTTTGATGTAAGTTATGCAATCTTATGTTTATTATAGATTAGCTGTTGCTTAATGGAGCCAGGGCGCAAAGGATTTGTGAAGTCATCAGCCTTTTATGATGTCAGTTTAAGTAAATCTGACACCTATGTTTCAGTCATAAGTAAAATATGTGATGCTATTGGTGAAGATCGTTGTGATGAGATGAGATTATTGAATGGAAAAGGGGCTATAATTCCTGACCAGCGTCTAAATATACGTGAGAAAGAAGTTGAATGGACTGTGGGATCTTTCCTACTGAAAAGACATTCCTCACCTGATAAGGTATCTTTTGGTGTTGGAATAATTGATGAAAATGAGCCTAGACCTAAAAAAGCTAAAGGTAATAACAGATTGCATTAATTATTAGTATTACATTACTTTTGTATAGTTAATTGTGGTACTGGAAATAGCACAGAATATCAGCTTTCTTCAATATGTAGTAGAGATTGTAAGTTCAACTTAGCACAATCATTGTGCATTGATCTTGTTTTTGTATTTCTATGCAGATGGTACTATTGTAGCTTCTAGCAATGATATTATTAAGGGTTTGTGAAATATAGGTTGTTGTATTAGTTATGTTACACTATAATTATTAGTATATTATGCATCTGATGATAGCCTTGTTCCATGTACTCGAAGTGAAGTATGGGAAGAAATTAATGGGATTGAAAATGGCATGGATAAAAATGGCATATTTATTCCTGAAAGTAGTTTCTATCATGTGGCTTCAATTGTGTTGCATGGTTAGCATTGTATACTGTTGTACAGTCAATCTAATTATTTTAGATCCCAACCAAAAAACCACTGTTTTACATAGAGATAAAAAAGGCTGTGTTACACCATGTATATCAGGTAAAAGTATGAATTATTTTAAGTTTGTAAAGATGTCTATAATATTGCAGGAAGTGAAACATTCTGCTTTACAAGTAGCAACAAACCTGTTCTGACATCAAAGGCTGCTATTCCAATTGTGGCTCTTAGCAGATTTCACCCTAAATGTAAATATAAGTGGAAGTGTTTCAATGATACTAGAATGGAGTATCCATCAACACCTGTGATATATGTTTCCCGTCCTTTTCTTTTCAAATGCTCTGTATACGTGGATGATGTATTACAGGGATCAGTTCATTTTGATGTGTTAAGTGGTAAAACTTCCAAGATTTTTTGATTTTTAACCATAAAATCCATGGTATATAGAACCCATTACTGAAACAGATAGAGCTAATGTATCAGTTACTGAAAAAGAGGGATCAAGTAATTGTGTTCAGGCTGAAATTTTATCAATTCCTCCTCCTTCCTGTAAGTCCTTTTGCTAAATATTTCAATAATAATCCTATTGCAGTTGATTCTCTAGAATTTTTTCTGGAGGAAATTATGAGTTCTACAAACCATTTAGACAAGCAGAATGAATTAGGGAGAGGCGGGTATGGTTGTGTGTATTTAGCTAATGATTTGAGGTCGGTGGGCACAACAGCTGCTATAAAGATTCTGTCTAAGGTTACTTGTTAGTAGCAACCACTGTATGATTAAATTATGGAATTAGGAAGGGTCTCAAGCACTCACTAAAGGAAATGATGAAGCATATCAGATCCAGAATGAGCTACAGGCATTGATGAAGTATTTTGTAAAATTTTTGATACATAGTTATGAATTTTCCAACTTTTGATATTAGGTATCGCCATCCAAACATTCTTGAAGTAATGGGCTATTGCTTTTCACCACAGCTAAAGGCTTTAGTGTATCGTTACATGGTGAATGGTTCATTATATTCATGGATACACTTAGTAGAAGTTTGTAGTGACATTTTACCAGTACATGTTTTTACATGTACATGTATTATAGACTAATGCTGGTTATATGCAGCAGTGGAAATTAACCTGGGATCGCCGCATTTCTATTCTAAAAGATGTTTTCCGTGGAGTTGCTTATCTCCATGCTGGAGATAAGCCCATTATCCATCAAGACATTAAATCGTTAGTTGCATATTTATCTACTTTTTAATTTGTGTACAGAAGCAATGTTTTATTGGATAAAGATTTCAATGCTGTCATTGGGGACTTTGGATTTGCTCTAGCAATTCCAAGGTCTGAATCCGGACGCACTCTTTTCACTGCACCTTTAATTGCAAGAACCGAGGGGTATTATCCCCCTGAACTACTCTCAGGCAAAATCTCTCCATTATGCGATGTGTATAGCTGTGGTGTAGTATGTCACATTATATTAGGCAAGTATTCCTTTCCATTAATTTTAGTTAGTGTTGGAGGTATATACTGCTTTAAAACCATATTGCAAGTCTCGTGCAGATCATGAGTTGGTAAGTTTAAGATTAAAATATCTATTGATTTATTACAACATATAGGTGAATCATACTGAGGATTACAGGCAAGATTTGAAACAATTTAAATCAATTGCTGATGCTAGTGCCATTGATGAGATTAGTGACGAAGAGTGTGACTTTTTTTGAAGGTCACTAATCAGTGCTTACAGAGATATACCAAACGACCAACAGCAAATGAAGTAAGGTAGTATCT